CTTATCAGCTCATCAATTCTCAGGGAGAAAGGCCTATGCTTCCAATAAATGGACGATATCTGAAGGCCTACTACGCAACATGACGGGACTTACCGCTGTTGGTGTGTCATGTATATATGAAAATTTTTGTAAACTTCAGATAGTTCTGAGGATTATTTATGTGGCCTAAAGGGGAGAAGTCTATGACTAGATAATTTTTTTCTTTATCATTAAAAATTTTACTCTTACATATTGCATTTGCTCTTTCCTACATATACATTTATTAACAAAATAAAATACATATTAATTGAACTATGTTCTGTTCTAGTTCACAAACAATTTCAGCCCATTGATGTCTCCCCGATAATTTCAGGAGAAGATGTCAGGATCACGACTGATCTTTGCTTTCAAAGATGGTCTGAACTTTGCTTTCAACGAAGAAGACATACCGCAAGGAGGGATAATTGATTTTGACATGAAATTTGAGGATATTAATATAGAATATGAAAATCCACTGATGGGTACAGTTCAAGAGCAAGAAAAAGAGGGATTGCCCTCACTGCTTAAATTCAGTACCAGGAGTCTTTCTTCTTCAAAAGGGAAAGAAATCGTGGAAGAACAAGATCCAATGGAAGGGCCAAGCCACCGTTTACCCTCCATGGTAGTTACTACAGCAGGACATTTGATAGCTGCTAATGAACAGAAAATACCTTTCCCTTCGTTGCGAAGAACTCAACGAAGAAATGCAGACAGAAAAAAACAGAGAGCTTTGGCCAAAGCCAGGAAGGAAAAAGAAAAGCTACTTGCAATTCCAGAGGAATACATGTACAATATCAATATGAGAGAATCTTCTGATAGTTTACCGATGACAGAAGAAGAAGTACAGTCGGTACAACATCCAGAGCCATCACCAGTATGGTACCACTCTGATTCCAGTTCAGTTTGTCCTACTTGTCATTCCGCGACACTTGAACAAGAACATCCTGCAGGAATATTTGTAGAATGTCCACGTTGTAATGTTCTACATCTAGGACAGTACTGTGATTATAGTAATTTCTCATCAGCCAATCAATTGATGAGATATGATGATCTGCCAATTGACAATGCAGTTACAACTCAGTATTATCCATGGGATCCTTCTTATGCACCAATTCAAGCTGAGGCGTATAATCCAGTAGAGAGGATATCACCACTAATATGGCAACCAATCATTGACAACCAGATTAATGAGGAAGTGCATTATCCGGCATATCCAAACAATGTGGAACTTGCGAAGATCCACAATGTTAAATATAATGTTTTTGAACATTTTGAGATGGTTAATGGAGAATATGTTAATATTCTGGAAGGATTGGAACTATACACAGAGGTCTTCTCTCCCATGGAACAACGAGAAGTGCTTGATTGTGTGTCTGATCTCCAAATCAGAGGCAGATCAGGATTGCTATTTGGAAAAACATACTCAGAGCCTAAGAAATGGATGAGAGGCAAGGGTCGCATCACAATACAATGCGGCTGTTGTTATAATTACAAAATAGACCAACAAGGAAATCTTCCGGGAATCCTACAACATGAACAGGTGGAACCAATGCCACCCACAATAAAATGGATGGTGACACGATTGGTGCAATGGAATATAATTCCATCAAGTTGTATCCCCAATAGTTGTATAATCAACATTTACGAAGAAGGGGATTGTATTCCTCCACATATTGATCATCATGACTTTCTTCGCCCGTTCTGTACAGTATCCTTCATATCGGAGAGCAGCATACTGTTTGGCACAGACATAGATATAATTGGTCCAGGTGAATTCCGGGGATCCGTTGAAGTTTCGTTACCAAGAGGATCCGTCTTAATTCTGAAAGGAAATGGAGCTGACATAGCCAAACACTGCATTCCTGGAGTTCAACACCGTCGAGTGTCAATAACTTTCAGAAGAATGGATGATGACAAA